TTTTTTTTAAATATGGAACGCTTCACGAATTTGCGTGTCATCCTTGCGCAGGGGCCATGCTAATCTTCTCTCTATCGTTCCAATTTTAGTATATGTGCCGCCAAAGTGAGCACGGCAGAGCTTTCTTAGTACGCATTTTTCCACTAGGCAAGCATTGAGTAACTCACTCTAAGTTAGTGCACCCAGTGGCATCACCTGGGAAGGTTCTCTCTGGTCACAGTACATTTTTTATAAAAGCAGTTTCACTCAAACCTCACTTTTTATGATGGTCTATTTAGAGAACAGCATGGGGCTGTGAAATTTTGTGTCCTGCTTGGGAAAAATGCCACAGAAACTGTTGTGATGTTGAACATAGCTTACACTATGGGGAAAACTCAAGTTTACGTGTGGTTTTCTCATTTCCAAAAAGGTAAAATGTTGATTGGTGACAAACCTTATTCTGGATGCCCGTCAACTCCCTGAACAGAAGAAAATGTCTACAAAATCTGTGCGCTTTTGCTCGAAGATGGAGACGGACCGCTGAAGAGACGGGGGGTTATCTGGGCTCTTTTGGAGCCCAGTTCAGTGAATTTTAATGGAAGATTTGGGAATGAGAAGGGCTGCTGTGAAATTTATGCCTCCGGTTCTGACTGATTAGGAAAAAGAACTTCGAGTGGAAGGAAACATGCTGTGCTTCGAAAGAACAGCTCCAAAGCGACCCAGCCTTTTCCCCAAGGTCATTACTGGTGATGAGACATGGTGCTATTCTTATGACCCTGAAACCAAACATCAGTCAAGCCACTGGAAGACACAACGTCACCTCATGTAAAAGAGCTCGTCGCTGTTGTCAAGTAGAATCAGAGATCAAGACAACGCTCACTTGTTGCTTTGATGTGAGGGGGCCAGTGCATTTGCCCTTCACTCCACCAGGTCAAACTGTTAATCAAGCTTTGTATTTAGAGGTTCTCAAAAGATTGTCTAACAGTGTGAGACATTTGTGGCAGACGCTGGACTGGTTTTGCTACCACAACAATGCACCTTCTCACGTAGTCATCTCAGTACACCAGTTTTTGGCAAAACCAGCATGCCTCTCTTGTCCCACACACCTTACTCACCTGACCTTCCTCCATGTGACTTCTTTTTGTTTCCCTGAATGAAAAGGGACATGAAAGGGCAGCGATTTGATGGCATAGAAGAGTTGAAGAAAAAAAAAACAAGGGAGGTGCTGTCAGCCATCCAAAGAGATGAATCTGAAAAATGTTTCCACGAATGGAATTGCAGATTTGACAAATATATTAAGTGTAATGGATGTACTTTGAAGGTGATAAGGTTGCTTTATAAAAAAATTTAAATACATAGCTTTGTGGGGGAGAGGTTCTGGTTTTTTTGGGGTATGCACTTGTATTCTCTAAAAATATATTTTTTTCTTAAAGGAATTATAAAAATTTGAATTCTCAGAAATATATATTATTCAAATATACACACTCCCCAAAGAGGTTTTGTCCAGTCCTGTGGTCTAAGCTTAACAGCAACCATAAGTTTCTACTGTTAGTTGTTTTACTTTATGATTTTTACATCTTTCTTTTGATTATTTCTCATCTAGCCTATCAAATGTAATCCTAAAGCAATCAAAACAATACATTTTAATAGTAACAAACAGACAGCTAGCAATCTATTAGGCTCTGGCTCCCTAAAAAGGCTGGTACCTGAAGTCTAAGGTCGATCACTAAATTAATCAATAATTGGCCCTCTAGTTTTAACTACCTTTTCTTCTGAAGAGGTAAGGAGAAAGAGGCACAACTTTAGTAACTTTAGTAACTTTAGTGGGCAGAGAGAGCTCTGTTTACCAGCAGAGTTCAGAGGGAAGTGATCCCTTTATAGGACATGATAGGAACCTAGCAGCCCTACAGAGCAACTGCACTGGAAAAGTACGTGTGGTGTGTGTGGTCAAAATGTGTGCTCCATAAACACACCGGGGCAAAGGCAGAGAACACTTTTCAACGTTGTTCCATGTCATTAAGGAAAGCAGACAGAGAAGGAAACATGAGGTATACAGGAACAAGCCACCTTATGTTAGGTTCCTTACCATTTTATAGAGGTCCGAGACACTAATCTGATCCGAGTCCACTACTTCAAAGTCCTTTCGAGGTACCAGGTCCAGGCCCAAATGTCTAGTAAGGAGACAGACCACACTCAGCATGAAACAGCCTTTCTCTCTGTTTCTCTCCACATATACTTACCTTGGTCTTGTGAAGAGAGGTCATTTGTGATGAAAAAATGATCCAGCTAATACCATGTTTAAAACAGACTGCTTTCGTTCACTAAAGATGAGTTTTGCATAGATCATTAGTAAAAAGTTTTTTGTTTTTTTTGTTTTACCCCCTCCTAAAAGTATGCTCAAGGTTTTAATTCCTTTCATTAGGATCAGAAACTATTCAGGGAGCAAGTTAATTTGTTGTTAAACAGTCATACAAATATAGATAACCTCATGATATTAAACCAAAGAAAGGTATATTTTACTTGTGCTTTAATGTAGTTAATACTGACATTGGCTCAAATTAAGACCAGGACACACATTACCAACACTGTAATAAATTCTCGGTGGAAATCTAACAAAGGAGTAATCAACAGAGAGCAGGTCCCTTGGCGAGGAACATGGACAAAGTGGCAAGAAGGGGTGTGTCTGGGTCAGGATGTGTGAGAATCTGGGAAAAGGTAGAGAGAGGGGGACAGGGCAGGGAGGGGGGAGATGGAGAGAAAAGACGGAAGATGACAGCTGGACTGTCGTAAACTAAGGTTCCACAATAAGAAGATACCAACTCTTTCATTCAAGACTTTTAATCGATAGCAATATTCCAATTCAATAAAAACATAGTAACCATTTCTATTCAAGCGCACAGCACCTCGGAAAGAACCACAGGCATTCTATAACTGCAAGAATAAAACGTTTTTTACTTAGCAATGTTTGTGAGGCAGAGATCAACCACAACCAAACCAAAGCTGCCGCCATGGGGGTGTTTCCATGCACGTTATACTCTCGAGCTAAAGAAACGGCCATTGGTTACATGGTGCTTAAAGAGCCTTGGTACATCTGTAGCTTAAGCACTGACCTGCTACCGGCAAGACTGGTGGTTCAAACTGATACAGGGAAGTGGAAGAGTGAGCCTGCTGATAATCAATATAGGGTCCATGCAGCGGTTCTCACCCTTCCTCATGCCCCACCCCTTTCATATAGTTCCCCATGTGGTGGTGACTCCCAACCATGACATTATTTTCGTCTCCACTTCATAACTGTGATTTTGCTACTGCTATGAATCATCATGTATATATACCTGATAGGCAGGATGTATTTTCATTGTTACAAATTGAACACAATGAAAGCATAGTGATTCATCACAAAACAATATGTAATCATATATTGTGAAATATTTATTTCTAATGACAAATAAATGAAACTTTGTCTCGCAGTTTGGGTAGCATGGGTAACAGTCTTCATGCCAGGTACTCATATCTGCATGTGGACAGAGCCGCCTGGAGACGGATAGAGGAGCGGTATCTTGATTCCTAAGACCATCGGAAATATGTGCTTTCCGATGGTCTTAGGTGATCCCTGTGAAAGGGTCATTCAACCCCCAAAGGGGTCATGACCCACAGGTTGAGAAACCGCTGGGCTCGAGGGTTAGAGTCAACATTGGGTTTGCTTGCTTTAAATCCATTCTGGAAATGTAACATAGTGTGGTGAGTCCATTTGTTAGAAGGGACCCAGCATATAACAGCCCTCGTCCCTCCCCAAGAGTACATTCCTTTAAAACCTGTTAATTGTTCAAGGCCTGGACTGCTACAAAAAAAACCTGTTAATTTCTCAGGATGCTCCTAATTCAGGAAAGGGAAACAGGGCCATTTAAATGAGCATGGCAGCTGAAACCCTAAGGCAGCGGTTCTCAACCTGTGGGTCGCAACCCCTTTGGGGGTCGAACGACCCTTTCACAGGGGTCACCTAAGACCATTGGAAAACATATATTTCCAATGGTGGGGTCACCACCACATGAGGAAGTGTATTAAAGGGTGGCGGCATTGGGAAGGTTGAGAACCGCTGCCCTAGGGGAACAGCCCAGGGACAGCCCTGGAGTAATGAAGATATCAAGTGATGGTCTGATAGTCCCTTGGGGAAATGTCAACTGTTTCCTGTCACCCTTGCTCCCTTTTTGAAACACCTGCAACACCTAATTCAAGTCATTTGTGAAGGTCTCGATTTTAAGTTGTTACATACATACAACAAAACACAACAAAACTGTCATACTGAACTATTTCATTAATATTTCATTAAGTTATTAAATAATTTCATCTACAAGCACACATAAACTATTTAAAAGCCTGTACATAAAGAATTTCACTCGTCTGACATTCTGCAGAACCACTGTAAGTATAAAACAGTTAATTATAATGTTATGAACCATTGAGGGCCCATGTCCCGCCCGAGTCCAGATTATACAAAGGCTAATTAAGCATGGCTACAGTAAAACATCATATTTACCTTAGTCATAGGTTTGTAAGTCTAAGAAGAGCAGCCAGACAGAATGCACCCTCACGGGCTTTTCTCCCAGCCAGACAGTCTGGGACAATCCTAACTCACAGACAAGAGAACTCTCTCAGGCACAGTCACAGACAGTTGGGAAGGCCGGCCAGACGGAATGCCAAGAACAACAGATCTCACTGATGTAAGAACTCTCACCCACAGTTAGAGTTTGGAGTCCATCAAGGCAACCAAGATTGCAGACCAGAGATGAGATCTTGCAGACAGACAGACAGCTGCCAACTTCAGAGACTTCACGGATATGGGCAACGCAGAGATTTAGACATTTTTAATCCAGAAGTAACAGCAACAAGGAGCTGTGAGTTGTGGCCGGGGAGTGCTCAAAGGAAAAGGGCCTTTGGTGATTGTTGAGGTCTCCAGGCCCCCTACTCATGTCCCCTAGTCCAAGCGATCCATGAGGAAGGAAGTTTCCCTAAACAAGGTTTCTCGGGTTACTGGTAGGCCTCCATAAGGTCCCAGTTCTTGGTCACTGTGGTAGTTACAGAATCTGGTGTCAATTTGGGATTTGAGAGGATTAAGAGTGAAGGGGTTATGTTATAGCCAATGAGGCCTCTGTGTGGCCATGGCCTTCCCCTGAGGATTCTGGGAATTCCTGTATTTCCTCCTTGGAGGGAGAGACTCTCTGCTCACTCCCTGGGAGACTCTGCAGCTGACAAGACACATGGAACTAACTACAATAGTGCCCTGAGCTGGAGAAGCCACGTGGAGACCCCTGCCAGCACTGAGATGCTTATAAAGCATGGATCCACAAGACGTTCCACCCACTGGTCTGTGATCTTCCTACATTTGGCCAGCATTGTGTTTCGTAAGTCTGAAGAGGACTTTATAGATTGGTATCGGACACATGGGCTATTATTTGACTTATGGACTTGATGTAGACCGGGTTGGGATGTTCTCTTAACGTACAATTACTGTTTATATAAAGCTCTTCTCATACACATATGCGTGTTTATGAATTTGTTTCTCGAGTCTACCTGGACAGTCACCAAACTGTTGTTAGACTGCAAGGGGTTCAGGAGAGCCTGTCCCTGTAGCCCAAATCAGAGACCAGGTTGATTCAAGAAATTCTAAGCTTTTTCCTACAAGTGTTTACAGAAGGAAACAGACAGGCTTCTCCTTCCAGACTGCTTCAAAAAATACAGTGAGATTCGAACAGGTTATATACCCCAAACTTTATGGCAGGTAGGGGAGGGGGAGATAATGAACAGGTTTTACAAAGATCAGTGGACTTTCAAGCAAAGATTCACAGGCTACAGTTGACATTTCCCCCAGGAACGACCAGACCATCACTTGATATCTTTATTACTCCAGGGGCCATCCCTGGGCTGTTCCTCTAGGGTTTCAGCCTCCATGCTCATCGAAATGGCCCTGCTTCCCCTTTCCTGAATTGGGAGCATCCTGAAAAATTAGCAGGTTTAAAAGGAATTTACTATAAGGGAGGGGGCTGTTATATCCCGGATCCCTTTCAACAAATTAGATCTCAACCAACTATGCTCCATTTCTAGTACTGATTTAAAACAAAAAACAAAAAACCCAGACTCGCTGTCATGGGTCCGTGTTGCTCCACAGCTACCCGATGTTGATTAACAACAGGCGAGCTCTTCCACTTCCTGCGGAGAATGATGACGTTGTCTGCTTCCAAAAAGATTGAGTCTCAAGAAACCTCAGGGATCAGTTCCACTCTGCCCTTTATGATTACTGTGAGTCAAAATTGACAGTGGAGATATACAGATATAATATTTAATTTCTAGGGGTGGTAGTAGAATGATGGATTAGACATTGGGCTAAGCGGCAAGGTTGGGAGTTCAAACCCACCAGCTGCTCTGCCAGAGGAAGGTGTTGTGCTTTGCTTCCATAAGGCGGACAGCCTCAGGCGCATGGAGCCGTTCTAGTGCAGTGGTTCAAGGGCTAAGTAACTAACCGAAGGTGGGTGGCTGGAATCCACTAGCCACTTCACGGAGGAAAGACGTGGCCAGATGCTTCCATGCAGATGACAGCCTTGGAAACCCTGTGGAGCAGTTCTACACTGTCCTGTAGGGTCACTGTGAGTAGAAACCACCTTGTTTACCACATTGTTAACAACAACAACAACGCCCACAAACAGGGCAGAGCCACCCTTCAGGATTCCCAAGGCTGTACATCTTTCGGAAAGCAGACTGTCACATCTTTTCCCCAGGAAGCAGCTGGCAGGCTCAAAGTGCTAAGCTTTTAGAGCCAAGCCCTTAACCACAGCATCACCAGAGTTCCTATCGCTTCAACTACTGCCTCAAGAGGAAGAGAAGCTGCAGCCACATGCTTCAGAGGACTTAAGATACGTGTGTATCTTAAATAGGAAGCATCCTGTCACTTCAAATTGCCAGAGTCTTGGTTTTAAGAAAATTAGACAAAAGCACTTGAGAATTATGTATAAATAAATCATTAATATGGGAAGAAGTAAAAACATGGTTGTGCCAAACTCTTAGATTTTTACTTGTTTGACAATAGCAAATGATAAAAGGACTAATTTTTGAATAATAATGTACAGATGGAAACTGGTCCCATTTTTATTGTATCGTATCCATTGTGTTCCAATTAAAGGTGGAGGCCATCAACTTACAGCAGCCCTGTGTACACCAGAAAGAAAGGATGTCTGGCGCTGTGCCATCATCACAGCCATGGCTGTGCTGGAGCCGCTGCTGTGGGCCCACCCAGCTCTGTTCCTCTGTACTTTCCAAGGGAGACAGAACAACGGATCCTTCAATTTAGGGGTTGGCAAAGACCACGGCTGTCAGAGAATGAACACACCTGCCGGGCAAGGACTATAGCCAGAATGCCCGCCCTTAGAAGCTGGGTGGGGAGACTGCCATCTCATTCACTTTGGACACATCCTTAAGGTCGAGCGGTTCCTGGAGAAGGGCATCCTGCTTGCAAAGTAGAGTGAGGTGTCAGGAATCGAGGCGTTTGAGCAGGAGAATCACTCAAGCAGCATCTAGCCCAACTCTTTAACTTTCCAGAGGAGAGTTTCTGTGACTAGAATCAGTGTCCTTTGCTAACTGGAGGAAACCACTATTCCTAGTAAAAATGTTCAGAGCTTGGTGGAGACTCTAACATTGTCTTTTAATCATTAAAGATGAGATTCAGCTCCACGAACACGGACTTCTCTGAGAACTGAGAGATACCCACGTAATACCCATACTTACTCGTTACCCCAGTCCAGACGCACGGTGATATGCCGTTTCACTTCCCGCACCTGGTCTTGAGTCAGGTGGCCCGATAGTAGCTGCCTTCGCAGGTCAATTAGCTCATTCATCACATGGCGTAGTTTGTAGAAAAGATCTACTTTGTGTTTCTGTAAAAATGGGTTTGGAGTTGGGTGAAATAAAAAATGAGTATGGAAAGGGAATGAAAGAGAGAGAGAAAGCATTCAATTTGAAAAGTGTTCATTTCTTCAAAACTCTAAAACAGGCCATGTAAAGGAGGATCTTATTTTAAAATCGTAAAGTCCTAAGTTCCTACTGTCTAACGATCTCTGATTATGCCTAACAAGCAACATAATTGATTTGGATCCTGCAGAGTACCATTTGTTTATCCACACTTTAATCCATTCTGGACTATTCATTTCAGGGAAAATTACAGCTACTAAACTTAATCACAATGGAAAGTTTCACAGGAACCAAGAGCTGCCTTTTCTAGCCATGGTGACTAGGCGTGCAGCAGCTGTCAAACACCGTGCGTGCGAGGGGCTCTGGCTCTCCAAGGAGAAATAGTAAAGGTGGGGGAGGAACAGGGGGTGTCATCGTCCTAATTTAGAGGCACTGAGGTTTCAATATAAAGCTACATTCTTGGGAAAGATTCACTCCTGGTTTCCAGGCCCCCTTCAGCTTGCCAACTGGCTTTTCTGAATGATGTGTGCCTCTAGTGTCATAGAATTCTACCCTTTTCAGTTTAATAAAAGGTGCCACCTTTATAAGAATTAAATATAAACATAACGAACTTAATTATGGACAAAATAGTGGTTTTAGTCTTGACAAGTACAAAATGTAAATGCCAGGAGAGTCACTGCTTGAGCAAAATGATGTACTTACAAGTACAGATTTAAAAAGCAAAGTCCTATCTGCTCAAAGGGGAACTCCTGATGTCAAGCTCTTTCTGGCTCTATTTCTGCTACAGACAAACATAATTCTGTGTGGTAATTAAAATTCCTGGAATGTAGCCTATCTATAAAGGATGCTTTTAAAGACTGATCAGATCTATACTGCAATGTTAGTACAATCTCTATGTGGGATTTCCCTTTGAAAGGTACTTATAAGCTTGCTTCAAGTAGCTACAAATAAAATCATTTATAAAGATACTTATAAGCTTGCTTCAAGTAGCTACAAATAAAAGCACTTATAAAGCAAATTACAAGCCAGTAGAACTAGTTCATGTTTTTAGATGGCAGTGATCTTATGATTAAAATGTTAAGACCATTTTCATCGAAGTAGAACATCAGTTCCACTTAGAAATTCAAATCTAGTACTTTAAAACACTTTTGAAAAGACCATTTAAAAGGAAAATATGTATATTTTTAACTGGAAAACCCTAAGATTCATGTACTCAGATGATACCACTTTCAAATGGTTTGCTGTTATTTCTTTAGTCGATGAACAGATGAGGAGAGTTAAGAACCTTGCTGACACAGAAACTGGCAATCCATAAACTCCCTGCCAGCTGAGGAGGCAGCACGGCCAAAGCAGAGGGAGCCTCCCTCTGGAAAGCCGAGCTCCTGAGGACAGTCCACAGGGGCCAGGTGGGACGGGCAAAACGAGACTGGGTGTCAAATTTAAAGCAGAAAGTTACAGGTAATTATTCTTTGCCCCACTGAGACACACACACACACACACACACACACACACACACACACACACACACAAGCACTCCCTCAACTGACAACTGCTCAAGCAGAACCTTTTCTCTGCTGCGGTGCTTCTACTAGAGGCGGCAGAGACCGCCCCCCAAGCACATAGCAAGGGTGGTGGAACGTTCTGGGAAGAAAAAGGAAAGCACCGTAACGGGACGGTCAGTGGCCAAGGATGGGTTGGGGGTGGGAACCTCTTTAGGCAGAAGGGTCTGGAAAAGGAATTTTTGGAAGCCAAACTAATTAGACAGCGAGTGATAGGATGCAACAACATGTGGGAAATCGGGGAAGTTACCGATAAACACGGGTGTATGGATTGTGATGAGCTGTAGGAGCCCCAACAGAATGATAAGAAAGAAGAGAGAGAGAAAGAGAGAGAGAGAGAGAGAGAGAGAGGAAGGAAGGAAGACAGGTGTAGAGAGAGAGAAAGAGAGAGAGAGAGAGAGAGAGAAAGGAAGGAAGACAGGTGTAAAGGCCTTGCGGTGGCAGTGGACTTGGCATGCTCAGGAAGACCGGGAGGCGAGGGTGTCGGAAGCAGAGGGGAGGGGAGAGTGACGGCAGTGCAGTCGGCGTGCAGCAAGAACCTGGTTTCTGCAGAGCCTGTCTAGGCCGTGCTGAGGGCTCTGGCTTCCGTTCTGAGCAAGGCAGAGACCACGGGAGGCTTTGGCACAGGAATGGCATGCTGCGACACGCCCTAACGGCCCACTCCGGTGCTCTGTGAAGACCACGCCGTGAATGGTACAGAGGAGTCCAGAACTACTTCCAGGTGACGGCTTGAGCCCAGTGCGGTGCAGGGTGGCAGGGGCTTGGACGAGACAGAGGACGGTGCAAGGAGGACGCGCTTGGAGTCTGGACATGTGTGGTACACAGAGCTGCCGCCATCTGCTTATGCATTATATGCGAAGTAGGGACAAAGCCAAGTCACTAAGTCGCCCTTATTCTTCTGGCCTGAGGAGCAGGGTTAGAAGAAGAATGAATTTTGGACGTCCTCTGTTTGAGGCTAAGTCCCACCACTTGGAGGCAAGAAAGATGAGAAAAGCAACAACAGAGTAAGCAGTGAAGCGGAGGAGTGCGGTGTCCTGGAAGTCAGGCGGAGAGAGGTTTGTGGAGTGAGTACCTAGTTCACTGGAACATGCACTGGGAGATTAAGTAAAATACGGATAATGACAGAGTCGGGAGGGAGGGGTAGGACAGGAGGACTGGTTTTTCTTCAGACTGCTTTATTCTCAGCAAGGTCATTATGAAAGCAAAGTCATTAGCTGGGAGTGAATGTGGTGGGAGGAGGCTGAGGACAGAGGTCAGTGCACAAAGACATCAAACAGGTCCTTAGGGGGTGGTAAGGAGAACTGAGGGGTGGGGGTGGGGGGGCATTCAAGTGCTGGGTGGTTTTGGAATCTGTGAACACAAATTAAAACCGAGGCTGTGTGGATTTCATTTCTAGCCAAACAGGAGTATAACAGTGCATACCAATACTGAAAGATCATATTTGTCTGTATAAAAGAGAGAGATAGAGTGTGTGTGTGTGTGTGTGTGTATGTGTGTGTGTGTGTGTGTATTAAGGAAGGAGCTTTGCAGGCATAGTGGGCTATGCATTGAGCTGATGAAAGTATGTGTGTGCACATATATTTATGTGTGCATGTATACATATACATACCTACACACATATACAAAAGCTATACAACCCATACACCTACATACAATGTCTATGCAAGAATATATTGATATGGTTTATTTTGGACAATGCGCATAGTATTTATTTCTATCAGAAATTTCTGGCAGATTCTACTTCCCAAACATGACGACGCTGTCTCCCTTGAGTGCTCTTGTGTCAAGTGACTGTGACTCTTCCGTCACCAGGTGGCAGCTATTCCTCCACGGCTCCATCTGGTCTAGTGCAGTCCTTCAGGACGGTGGCAGATTTTGCTTCCTGCCCCTTGGGATGGGACGCGAGCTCCTGTGCACTCCCCTCTCAAGCTCCCAGCCCTTGAAAAGCCCAAGCTGTGTGGGGAGGCCATATGTAGGCATGCCAGTCACTGGCATCAACTGTGTGAGGGAGCCCTCAGATACCTAGCCCAGCTGAACCTACTGAGAACTACAGCCCTGCCAACCTCCAATAGCAATCCTCCAAGTGAGCAATCCTCAGTGAAGACCACCAATTGGACCTCCTTATACACGGAGTGTGAAAGAGAAGAAATCGTCGTGTTAAGTCACCAAGTTTGGGGGTGGTTTGTTACACAGATAACTGAAACAATTACACTGTCCTTTTCCCCACTGGAGAATAATGTACTGTTTCTAACTATATATAGTGGGAGATACTTCCTCTAGACATATAGTATAAGGACGTACTAAGAATGAAATGGACCACAGATAAGAGCCACACGTTGTCACGATGGTTACACCCATGTGATGCCCATTCCTTCTTCCAGGGCAACCTAAGGACTCTTAGACCAGAGGCCCTGGGACAGGGGCTCCACCTGCATCCCCTAGATGTGCCTGCTCTTGGGTTTGTTCACGGAGATAAACGCACACCACTCCATGTGAGCCATCTGGTCACAGGCCCCAGACACATGTTTTATACACAAGTGCCTGATGCCAGGGGCTAGATGAATATCCCACCCTAGGGAATACATGACTTTCTATTGAGAGGTCTGCTCTTCAGTGGATTAAAATGACCATATAACTCGCTTGGTGCTGCAGATTCAACTTGCCGGTACCATCTTCCCTTTATCCTGCCACAGCTAAAATAAAAACAGGAAAATTACAAGACGTGTGCACACACACACACACACAGATGAGAGGGAGCACAGGAGGGTGCAAGGGAGGCAGGCAGAGATCGGGAGGAAGACAGAGGCAAAGAAATCCACAGCCCCAACAAACAGTCCTTGAACTAACTACAAGCTTTTCTTTCTTGTGTT